AAATTCCTCGCCGGAATTTCGGAAGCTGCGCGACGTAAACCCTCGAAAATCCGTTTGAGGTCGAGACTAGGGTCCGGCGAAGCTCGATATAAATCAGAGTCCGACGAAGCGCCGGCCGTTGCGGCTCCCGTCTTCCATCGGTATCTTTCGTGTCCATCTCTTTCTTCCGTCTCCCGCCCCTCCCGCTACCACGGACACGTAATTACGGGCGTTAGGTGAGGAACCTACGAGCCCCGGGTTCTCCCACCCCCATGACTGCCGCACACCCCGCAAAAAGAGCGCGCGCAATGAAAGAGAAATGTTTAAGGTCCGAGGAGCTTCCCGCTTCTTAAAGCGGGATTCTCTTGCGGGTGGCTGCCCGTAAAAGCGCGATATAGCCTTGGATAACGGCGAGAGGGTAATCACTTTTCGAAGATCCGGATCGCGGGGCTTACGGAGGAAAGGGGTATCGAGTATTTTTACAATCTACAATCTTCTTAGAGGCATTTAATAATCTTACACTCCAACAATGTTACAGTCCTTTTAAATACTGCGAGTGCCACTTCAAGAATGCCTGTAATTATCTTGACAATAAAATTATTTTAGCCTTCGAGTCGAAAATATGTTACAACGAATAAGTTTAGTCGACCTTAACTGGCACGTGTTTAATAAAATACTGGCAACCTAAAGATATTATTATGTTTAAAAATATGTTATTTTCTATCCAATGCGTTGCTTCTTCTCCATTCAAAAAAATTATTCTTAAATAATAACACTTTTACCGTTTGCAATTTGAAATATTTAACCACTATACGTAATCACAGATTACACCACGATGATAAAATATTACGCGTATTTACAATTTGCGGATGCACGAGCATATCTGCACGCGGGCGAAATGTTTTTCAGAGAGAGAGAGAGAGAGAGAGAGAGAGAGAGAGAAAGAGAGAGAAAGGGATAAGTAATCCTAAGAGTTATGTATCTCTGTAGTTCCTGTTTTAAAGGGTGAAATGGAGATAAAAAGAGATATGGAAAACAAAAAAAACACGGCTTTTCATTTCCGTGTCACATATATTTTTTTTTCACTTCAATTTTGATCCTTCTACATTTTTCTATTTTCCACGTTCGCGCTTTCCCTGCGTGGAATTTCAAAACGTTACAACCCGTCGCGTCCGTTCGTAGTCGAAATAATTTTTCCAGCAGTCGCGAACAACGCGGGCTCGCCCCGGGGGTCGCGCAACGCTCCCCGTTTAGGGAAACAACGGGCAAACAGGACGAGAATAATCGTCTTTACCCTCGCGCGCAGAGGTAGGGAAGACGCGGCAGCTTCTCACCCTCGGCTCGAAACAATCGCAACTATGCCCCAACAATTTATAATTCCGCGCTGCCGGGATCCTACGCCGCACCCTCGGCGCCGAGATCGCGCCCGCCTTGTGCACTGCACAGTTAAATGTTATTACTTCAGTCGTTGCAGATAATTTCCCTCGGTTGTCCGCCGGGGCGAATTCCGCTCCGCTCCGCCCGCCCGCACTAGGGACGAGGTCGTCAACTAGAGTTCGCGTGAGAGCTACGGATAGACATAACGCCGCATTACGCCGAGTCAGCAACGCGAGCCAAGTAGTTAGCCATCTTCTTACAGAGGTGCGAGAGACGATGCGAGAGAAAGGCAAGAAATTTGCCATTGAAGAAAGGAGAAGAGTCGTTCACGTTGAAATACATGTATACCTTAGAGGAACGTCCCCGATTATAAGATAGACTTCTATATTTGCTAGTAAAATGTATGACATAGGCTTCTACATTTTGCTAGTAAAACGTATGGTAAAGTTTCAGAAAACTCTCGTAAGGTTCTTCGTGTTGTCCTACGATTACATGATTTTCAGGATAAATTTTAACAGGAAATTCTCTCCGTGATAATTGTGTTGACAAGAAAATCATTTTAACAACTTGAGTATTTTCTTGATCATATCTAGAATTTTTAATAATACAGAAAATTTATTGCAAAAAACATTACCTCAGCCGGGGTTTGAACCTGGACTTCCCTACACTCTAGGCGGACGTCTCACCAATTCGATCACTGAGTCATGTGGTAATATTTATCAAAAACAGTATAAAGATGTTATTTTATTAAAGATTTATTTTTTTACTTTAAAAATCATTTTAAACATTATAATCTTCGACTTGAAAATATGTTATTTTCTATCCAATATTGCTTGCTTTCCATTGAAGAAAATTATTCTTAAATAATAAGCATACATTCGTCTTAGTTGAATTATGTAAACTTGCTTCATTCAAGTAAGTTTTTCTTCCTTTGACGCAACATAATCTCATTTCAAGATTTTCACGTTAAAACTAAACATATTTTTTCAAAAGAAGAACATTCTTTTCGTCTGTGCGTCTATTTCTGCAAAACTATATAGACACCGAGTTCGATTATGGCCCAGCCAAGTTTAAAAACGTTGTCTCGAGTCTCTCTCGGTGGAAATAAAAACCAAATGGCTGCATTTTAATTTGCACGTTCGAGAGAGGTATAATATTGACATAATTAACCACCCGTGCAAATATAAGTAGAATTCTGTGAAAGAAACCCCCGGCGGCCGGCGGACAGGCCATAGATATTGAGGACCGATCTCCACGTGTGTACGCGCGGGGCAAATATTTTAAAATATTTCAACGTCAGGATAAAAGAAGGGCGAAATTAAAATATATATACCACGACATAAAACGTTCGGCCGAGAAAGATCGCAGTGGACGGTTCTCATCAGCCGGAGTACCGGGCGGAGGGATGGTCCTCTCCGCTTTTTAGCCCGCCGACATTTTCGTCTCTCCCTCCTCTCCTCGAGCAGGCGGAGCCGCGTGCATCGGCGGTGACTGCTGGCCTTGCACTCGCTCCTTCCCTCACGGTAAGCACTCCTCGGTAATGCGCTTCTCGGTGCATTAACCCAGGCCGGGCACAGCACGCATACCTACGTCAAACCTTTTGTGGCGCGGTACAAACGCGGGCGCTGAGCTTTAACGCAAACCACCTCTTCCGCGCCCGTCGGCGAAGAAACGCAAGCGGCTTCCTTCCTGCCCCTGCCGCCGCGCGTCTTGCCGGCAATCTCTTTCGCAGGACCGTTAATCGTCCTGCACGCGCAATTTCCGTGTCGGTTGAATCGCAATTGCTCGACTCGGCGACTTTTTCCACCGATTTTGTTCCCCTGGAATATTGTCTCTTTTTGAAATTATGATAATGCACTTTGCAGCGCGGTTTATCAGAGTTTGTCGTGGTCAGACCCACTGCGACATCGAATGTCGATCTATACCACATAGATTTAAAAAGAGTGTCTTTTTAAAGTACAAAGTCGTAGATATATGCATGTAAAAATTTCAGATAACTATATAAAAGCAATAATATCAAAAATATCAAAATTAGATTTATAAAAGATCAGCCTGTAAGGAAAGACCAAGATTTGTGGGTAAAGAGCATCAAGAGAAATTGGAAAATAGTGAAACTCGCTAAATTTTCATTTAACACTGTGACATCGAATGTCGATCTATACCGCATAAATTTAAAAAGGGTGTCTTTTAAAGCACAAAGTCGTAGATATATGCATGTAAAAATTTCAGATAACTATATAAAAGCAATAATATCAAAAATATCAAAATTAGATTTACAAAGGATCAGAAGCCTGTAAGGAGAAATCAAGATTTGTGGGTAAAGAGCGTCGAGAGAAATTGGAAAATAGCGAAACTCGCTAAAATTTCATTTAGATGTGTCTCGTAAGAAGGGAGAAATAAGTTAGATATATAAACAGTATGAATTTACGGGACGCTGAGACAAAAAGAAAGTGTATTGAACCGGGACGTGCTAAAAGGCGACGAGGACGAACGCTTACAAGCGTTATTTGGGGGGGGAAGAGCTCAGATTAAATTTACAGTTAGCTTCTCCGTATCTTTGCTTCAACCTCATATCCTACCAAACAGTCCCTCGCTCGTGATTCCAAGAGGATCCTCAGGGGCGTGAGGGTGTCAAGGTAGACGCAAGGCAGGCGGCGGGCGGAAACCTTGAAGAACGGGAGTAGAACGTGAAACGAAAGCGGATGTCGCGGCCGAGGAGGACGAAATCGTTAAAAGGAATGCGCAGTCGAGCGAAAGAGGCTTCGAGAGGTTGGCGGAGAGGGGCCGGTCGGCCAGTTGAAATAATGTAGAGAAAGCTCTAAAAAGCTCCGCCAGAAATTCAGGAAGACACCCGCCGCCCCATTTTACTTTTGTTCCCTTTCGGGGAACGAAAAGTTCCCGCGATGTACCTTTTCCTTGCCTCAAGCCTGCATTAACAGTTTGATTTAATAAACGTGATATTAATCACCTTTACGGCTCGTTTAAACAAATTCGGATAACCTTCGGTGGAAACTCGAATGGCAAAGGGTACGCACATTTTTCACATTTAATACTAGACTTGTACTCGATAATTCTATTTCTCTCGAAATAAAGTTCGTTGAAAGCTTTTTAAATAAAAACGATAATTTTCTTACGTAAACAAAACAGTGTTACGTTATATGACACGATTGTTATGTGACAAAAGAAAAATTAATTTACGGTCAGGAAGATAATAAAAAACGACGGTTTCTAGACATCGAAATTTGATAAAAACAGGTAACTCGAATAACAATAAATCGTATAATCTATCTGTGAGTTATTATCGGAGTGCACGTTTAGTTCTAGAAGGAGCCTTCTCGTCATAAACCACTTGAGATTCCGTGCATTAAGAGATTAGATTGCGGTTTAAATTTACGGGGCGTAGTACCGAGTGATACCGTCCAAAGACAACAATTCCGAGTCTCAGGCTCTGATTTGTATCTTGAGACGATTATTCATTGCCCTTTCCAAGAATTTTCTCTACTCGGTACTTTACCTTTCAGGAATCTGTTTCTCTTTGGCATACACGTACCTACTACTGTTTTTATCGTAAGTTATGTACGTGTCTTGAATACCGAGGATCCACAGCGAACCGAAACTCGTCGGTTGCTTGACTCGCCAGTGTTATTAAGACTCTTGGTAAAACTACATTCGAGCTCTGACTGATTATTTGCTTTTTGTTTCAACTGTTGATAGAAGAATATCAGTTAATTATTCAAGTTGATTAAACGACAGCTACTTAATAAATTGTATGGCATAATTAAATTTTATAACGTACCAACGTAAACGTTAGTTAAACGTGCAGAAAATTACAAGTGCAGTATGTTACACAGCATAGGGGATTTAATACAAGTAAAATTATGAGAGTGCCTCGCGTTACCATATAATGTAATTATTAGATGTTATCACGATGTCTGCGTTGAAAAGTCAATGTGCTTAAAACCTGGTTAATTTTAGATATTAAGTCAGTATCGCGCGAGGAAACTAGCGGTAAGGAAGAGCGAGCGTGCAGGAAATGCGGTGCGGTAAACAAATGTCGCGCATACGCGTTAATACATCTAAACGTCGTTATCATTATTTGTATTTTTAGCGAATCGTAGCGGCAGTTTCGCTGTGTGTCTCGCGGCGTCAACACGCGCGATTTTAGCGCAAGTCGATAGAACACGTTACGAAAATCTCTGCTGGACGTTTGGGATTAAGCGTTTGGAGCTTAACATTAATTTGCGATTCGCGTTGTTGATAAATTACTGATTAATTAGTTTGAAATGAAGGGGATCAGCGCGATTAGTCTAATTATATTTTGCACGCTCGTGCTGATTGTTAATAACAACGGTGTAACGGAAGGTCACTCCGTGAAAGATTTTTTACGAGGTTTCGTCGCGCTAAAACAAGTTCCGAATCTGCGACATGGAATCCTTCCAGGTAACTTTCCTTATTTACTCATTGAATAAAGTTTTAATCACTTTGAGAATTTGGATCTTATAGCATTTGTGATAAGTGAGTCGTCTTTATTTCTTTTCATTTATTTAAATAGCTAACGTATATTTTTTTTCTTTTGCTCTGTGTAGAAGTAATTATATATTTAAAAAATAAAAGTGCTTCTTTTTTATTTTTACATTAAAGCAAACATTAATATTCTACAATTGATATTGAAAACGGTACATGTAATTTGTATTTTATTCATATTTTGCAAATTTTTTTACGCCTATTTTTTCATTTCACGAGACATATAGAATAAACTATGTTCGTTAAACTAAAAGAACTCACTTATCCTCATTCAAATTATTTAATTCCTTTTGTGTGTTATCCCTGACACTTGCGTTAGTTTTAATGTAGTAGCATCTTTCATTTGCATTCAAATTTCTGTCTAGTTATTGCTTTAGTATAATAATTTTTCTTTAGAGAAATTAAAAGTTGACGTACAAATAAGATGGAATCTTTAATCCACACAATTCTTAATTTCAATAAAATATTTGAAAAATAATAGTTATACCTTTTTTATTTTTAATTTAGGTATATATTACTTTTGCACAAGAGTAATACTGCAATGGCAAATGTATCTTCTAATTTAAATATTTCACTGATATTTCATACAAAATTTATCGACGACCGATTATAATTTGTTAATGTGTAGTTAATTATTTTTAAATTTGTTACTTATTGTCATAAATTACATGATCTTTTGTTCGCATTTTGTAGGCACTCTTTGGTGCGGCACGGGAAATATTGCCCGTGAGCACTCCGAACTAGGTATGTACACAGAGATGGACAAGTGTTGCAGAAGTCACGATCACTGCGAAGACTACATAAGGCCAAAAACTACAAGATACGGGCTATATAACAAATACATTTGTAGAAGGTACTGTGATACCTTATCCACGATTGTTAAGCGCGCGAGGGCATTTTCCTTTTTGACTTTTTGCAGTTCGTTGTGCGAGTGCGAGTTGCAGTTTCACGACTGTTTGAAGCAAATACGCGGCTTCTACACGTACGCCGTGAGAAGAATATATTTTGGGAAATGCAAGCAGTGCTTTCGTACCTTCTACGATCCTCAGGAGTGCGCAAACGAGTAAGAACATTGAAATATGCGAGTTTTTTTATCATTTATATTGTTTGCATTTACTGTTTAAGGTATCAAAACTTTTTACTAAACTTATAGAGGCACCAAATACCGCCTATGTACCCAACGCCATTTTAGCGAAACTAATATTGATATCAGTTAACTGTGGGCAGAATTGTAAAGTAGGATAATTAGCTTATTTTATGAACAACGCCGGTATTTTCAATACATCAGTTGTAGCGATAATGACACTTTTGTAAAATGACGTCGGCTGATCTAGTGACAGCAGCTTACGGGAAATAATGTAATTGTATTATTGCTTGTTTTTTTTCCAAAAGTACCACGTTAGAGAGTACGAATCAGAGAATCGAATGATGGTATTGAACATCAAACGCAATGTCAGTTAAGTATTAACAATTAATTTAAGCTCACAAGTAGACCATATTAGGAACGCGTTTCAAACAATGGCACTTTCCATTTTGTTACAAAATTTGTGAAACAAACTAAGTTAGCATACGCTTACAATATTTTCCAGTTGGTGGCAAATAAAGTGATGTCTGTCCGTCATTTTAAGCTCTATCAGAACTTTTTTCGACCATTTTTTTGGCCACCGGGATCAGAAATAGTTAGAGTAGGCGATATTTGGTGCCACTATCTTACTTTTGGACAGATACTAAAATGTCCAGAATTAATTGTACACTTCTGACTTAATTATTAGACTAACATAACATTGATGCCTTTGCGCATCGTTAGCCTCACTTTATTAAAATTCCACTGACAAAATGCATTATCGGTCACTTTCAGAATTGAACCGAAATTATTTGTTATGCGTTCCCGATAAGTTTCCCATCAATCATTAATTAATTATATCATTGATCAGGGGTCTTGATATAATCGAAGAGATGGACCGTAAAGGTCGCCGTGTTTTCTGTGCGAAGTTTGAGCGAACTGTAAAGTGGAACCACCGACATAACACCACCACGCCAGAATCGATCTCCACCCCCGAAGTTTCAACCTGGAATGATGATGAATCCGTACGACTCGTTTCGCGCTTCGGTTCTACAGACGGCAGAAAATATTTTAACGACGACAACGACGACAACGACGACGACGCTACCTATGAAAGTTATATGTCGAGCGAATATAATGATTTATTTTAATGCTGCAATTCAGGCTTGCGTTTCTGCCAAAATGGTTGAAAACAGATAATAATTTGCTATTTCTTGTCTAATCTCCTGTATTGTCCTTCTCCAAGTTCTAGTTTAGGACTTGAAAATTAATAGGACCTTGAAATATGAAAATATTCGCCAGAGAAAGTATGTATAGTATTAAGATCAATTATATTAATATAAAAGTCAATGTTTAATTTTATACCCATGAAACATCGGCTTTTCATATTTTTCATTTTACAAGAGCACATCCGTAAAAACGGTTAATTAAATAGTTTCTGTGTAACATACTAGGCGCTGGTTTTAATTGTGCCAGTTAAAAGCATTTCGAATTTTCCATGTTCTAAGGATATAAAATAGCATATTAAAATAACGCTTTATTATTGATCTTTTTAACACCCCGAGCATATTTCACATTCAAATGCTTTCCCAAGTTTATTTCAAGATATTTAAATTTTTAATTTAATAGTATTATTATCCATAATAGTTGAATTATCATCTTCGCTTTTCTAAAAGGGAAACTAAAAAAATAAAATATACAAATGAGATTATTACAATAAACGATAATAGCAGTAGTACGTTTCCGTCAGCTATGTCCTTAATTATTTAGATTTCGCTTAGGAAATATACCTATGTGCCTTAAATATAGTTGAAATGTTTAAGTCGTTTTCCCGTTTCAAATAAATTTTTTCTGACCACTAAAACACAACACTGGCTTTTATGTGGCCCACGCGTGATGGAACAACAGCATAAAAATTTTCAGATTTATACAAATTTCGCGACTTCTAAACACGCGGGGGCGGGGGGAGGGGGGGGACTCAAACTGCCACGTACGCGAGGCACATGTCTAAACGAGGCACTGGCGCAATCGTGCCCCTCGAGTGCGATTCCGAAGTCCGCTCCGAAATTGCCTCGTCCCGGATATGGAGGCCGTTCGCAGGTACGGTACGGGGAACAAGGGAGGTTACTTGAAAATCCGCCGAGAATTTTATCGCGAGGCTGTAGACACGCGGCCGAATGCGCAAAGCTATCTCCATTCTGCGATTTCTCTCTCTCTCTCTCTCTCTCTCTCTCTCTCTCTCTCTGTCCACCTTTTGCAGCTTGGGAGTCATACACCCACGGTCCTCCCGCGCCCCTCGCCTCTCTCACGCGAAAAGAATGTTCAATTATGCAAAAATACGCGCGAAAGTTTCACCGGAGGCGCTCGTTCCGCAAAGGGTGTTTCTGAATTAATATCGGACGAGACGGGGGGGGGGAGGAAAGGGGTGGCTAATGCGAATCAACAGTCAGCGCGTTGTCGAGGACTGTCTCTTGTTTTTAGACTTCTCTTCATTACGCACATTACTGTGCGCGGGCGTACATTCCGCATATTTTTCAACAAACATCGCCGATCTGATAAATTCTCGATTTGAATGCATATTATGTGTAGATACGGTTATTTTTACCCCGCGCAATCTACTTTCGCTTTCATACTTTGCCAGTTTATGAGGAGAATTGTTGCATGCATATATGTTTCTCTGGATTCACTTCTTACATTACAGTTACCTAACAGTAAAGCATTTATTGTAAATATTATTTATTCATTTTAACAGTGACCAACGTAAGGAAACTGAACAATTAGGAGACATAAATAAGTGTGTGCGGAAAAAGGAGCAATAGAGGAGAAACATTTGGGCTTAATTTATCACGTGATATTCTAGGTTGTCCCATTTCTATCGAGTCGACCTAGAAACCAAGTTTTCCAAAGATCAATCCTCCAGTTTTATTCGTGACGGCTTTATTTCCGACATTTCGTGACATTCTCGCGCGGGCAAGTTTCTTTCATTAAAGGATACGTTTTTTTATCCTCCCCGGCGCTATTAAAGGGTCTTTGGAAATATCGCTGCGACACGGCGCTCCCTCGTTTGAAACCTCCCTCAAGTATTTCATATAATAAAGTCCCCTTGAAGAAAATGGCAATTACTAATATAAAAAGTGTACAAGAAGTTCTTTCTCGCTTCCTCGCGATCCACGGGCGCAGCGGAAAGCACGAAAGCGCCTAATATTTCGCACGATTGTCGCAGCAGTTTGCACAGGATTTTGTAATTGTAGTTTTATTAACGTGAATTGAAACGGCGATGCTGACAGAATTTTAATTGGAGTCCTTGAGGATTTTTTCCTCGAGTCTTTTAATTCCTATCGACGGAGGCGCGAGCTTGAAGTAAGATTACGTCGTGATATCTCATTTGTATTACAGAGATCTGATAAGCTGTGACATGTTGGTGTGACGCGATGAGAATTTTTCATAAGAAACCAAATAAGAAATACAGAATATATTATCGATCGATTAAAATAATGATAAATAATGATGTAAGTTTTTACAGAAGATAATAATTGGCTCGAGTTGAATTTGAATTTCCAGAATTCAAATCTAAACTAATCACAAATTGATTTCGTATACAAATCATACCTATTGTAAATCTTAGGCCCGGTCTACAATGAGTTGTTAGTCGTTAGTCAGAAGTCGGAACTATATGTCGGTCCTTTTTCTTCCACCCAGAAAGGAAAAGGATCAACATATAGTTGCGACTTCTGACTAACGACTAACGACTCATTGTAGACCGGACCTTAATCATAAAATCGTATTTCCCGTCAATAAACAAAACAGTCATATTAAGAAGTTCAGCGGGTGCCTTCAGTTGGATCCAACTGAAAGAGTAGATATCAATAATAAAATAGATAATAAAATTAGCCATATTATTTTATTTTAATTACTACTGTAATTACTACGTAATACTATGTAGTTGGATGTTATAATTACTATTTGTAATTAGTGTTAACTTACTATAATTATTACTATATAATTGGATAATGTTATTGGATACTACAGAATATTTTAATTAAAAAATGATTCACAATTCGCCTAATTGCCCTAATTGCTTCCGCGATATTAAAGTACATTTTATTAGTTTCACATTAAAAGTTTAAATATTTTTTTACGGTAAAACGAACTTATAATTATATTTTTTTGTATCAAAATATTTTTGTAATCTGTTCCTTACAATTCAATCTAATACTTATATTGTTAATAAAAATATTTCAACGATTCGATTCGATTGTATGTGATTCGCTTTAATTCGGACAAATTTTTATCGAGTCGATTCGATTTGACATAAAAAAATTAATCAAGATTCATACATTTCTAGTTTATCGAAATTAATAAAATCGAAAAACGAACGATCAATTGATCAAACGAACGAAATGCTCAGTGTGAATTAATTCCATAAAGCTTTTTCCGGCATACAGAGTGATTTCCTGTGTAAACAATCGTGTTATCATTCGCATTTCGGCAAGGCTCGAGGCAGTAAGCAACGGCACGAGCCGCTCATGACGTTATTATTTCAAAACGCGATCGTTCCTTGCGAATAATTAGCATCGCATAATATCAGCATGCGCGGATATCTCAGTGCAACAGCCGTTTGTCAAGCGAAAGCAGTAGCTGTATATAAACAAATCAGTACCCCGTCGTTCCTTGGAGAATGGAAAATCTCCAAACAGTAACAACAACAATAAATAAGCTTTAAAAAATAAAGGGTTCTCCGGAGTGGAGGTTTGGGAGCTTATAACCGCTTGCCATAAAAATTGCAACTGCAACGAAAGTAGGAAAAAACCGTCCAATCCACATAAGGGCGGCTTTTCTCCACCCGGGCTACAGCGTCGCCGAAGAGGAATAAGAACAATAATAAGCGTGAATAATCAACCGGCGCGTGAATAATCAATAATTTACTTGTATAATTAACGATTTATACACACCCTAGACGATGACTATGTAAATACCTCGCGCGATTTATGCATTTGAGACTGGAATTGAAGTAATGGAAAATGATAATTATCAATTATTAATTCGTAATTTTTTACAACCGACTAATTGGTATAATAAACAATAGTGTTTCATTTAAAAAAATTCAAGATTACCTTAGTAACGCCGCGCAAAGCCAAACTCATACATTCACTAAATGCGCCTTTTTAAACCACATAACTTTTGTCTAAAACAGTTTTCTCTAAAATGCTTTATTTTCGAGATATTTAGCCGTTGCCGGACTTTTTGGACACCCTGTATATTTTACTAGTAGAATGTATGGTAAAATTTCGAAAAACTCTCGTAAAATTCTCCCAGGTGCCACGTTGTCCGACGATTACATAATTTGCAGGGTAAATTGTGAAAAAATTTTCTCCCTGCAGCTTCGCAATTTGGACTTTTCATCAAATGAAGCTTCCTAGCTATTGCTATTTTCAAATTGAGAGCGCAGAGATTAACGTGCGAAGCGCCGATTCGAATGATTCATATAACTAAAAGCCGTCATATATCGATCATTTTTTATTAACCAAATTGCGACGAGCTGAACAAGATATAGGGCATTATATATTTTACAACGCGTTAAATATTTTATAGTGACGGATTGGCTCGTTTTAGCACTTTTTTTGGTATTAATGCTACATGCATCACATGTCTGTAATAACTTCTTGTTGTAGACATGTTCTTGATGTTAATTTCATTATCTTGATATTAGTGAAAGGTGCTTGGTACTCGAAAGAAAAGCTAATATACACTGAGAACACTGTGTTGCCACGAGACGAAGCCAGTGTGACTCGTTAAACATTCAATCCGCCTTCCTGGAATGAATAAAATTCATTCTTTATATATTATTAAAGGATAGTCCTCTCTAACAATGAATTTTTCACTAAACGGATTTCGTTCCAAGAGCAATAAATTCATGGTAGAACCAAGAGATGATGCCTGTTAATTTAGCAGAAACTCCGTTGTCTCATATTAAAAGCCTATCGCGTAATAGGAGACTTTCCTCTATACATTTTTCTAATATTTTGTGTGTATCTTTTTGATTTATTGTATAATAACTTTTAATAAAATATTTATACTGAAAAATGAATACAGAATTCAGTGTGCGAAATAGATTCTTTCGAAACATGTATCGGCTATTTTGCGCGCTGCAATAACTAGGCTATATTTTTACTTTAGACCAATGCAGTTTCCAACGCTGTTTACAGCTCTGTAGCTGCATACGATATCGGCGAGTGACAAATTAACTTGTATTTTATAGTGAGGTAATGGATCTCTGAATAAATATCGCATCAAGGTATATTGTATACAGAGTGCATATAGACGCATGTATTGAATCAACGGGGATACAATATCAAAGAAATATAGCGTCTCATGAATTCAATGCTTTGAAAATGGATGGCTAAGATATGTTCGTACGTCGAGTTCGCAAAGAGCTTGTTACAACGATTAGTGCACCGTAACATTTTATTATATTTTCAGGTTTCGTGTCAGATGTATGGAAATGTTTGCTTTTCCAAAACAGGTAATTATGT